AAGCCAAACAACAACAAAGTAACAAGTAACGTTAGTTAGTTAGTTTGGCACCCTGCCCGACTGTACTGTACTGTAGCCTGTCACTGCATCAGTCTTTTCTCTTGAACAGGACATTCGCGATCGCGGGTCACCCAGCGACACGCTAAACAAGAAGAATTATTAGTGTACAATGTCATGTACATGACATGTACAATCATTCTCTTTTATTTCTAGACTCTAAACGAATAATATAATTATTTATACCGATGCAGACAAGGAATCATCACCTGCGGTCATTTACGGACTCATTTCACAGACAGTCAGCCTCAGACAGTCACAGAGTCAGTACGTACATGAACCAGATCCTGATACATGTAGCTGTGCATGTAGCTAGCTGTGCATGTAGCTGTGCATGTAGCTGTGCATGTAGCTGTGCATGTAGCTGTGCATGTAGCTGTGCGTGTAGCTGTGCATGTAGCTGTGCATGTAGCTGTGCATGTAGCTGTGCATGTAGCTGTGCATGTAGCTGTGCATGTAGCTGTGCATGTAGCTGTGCGTGTAGCTGTGCATGTAGCTGTGCGTGTAGCTGTGCATGTAGCTGTGCATGTAGCTGTGCATGTAGCTGTGCATGCCACTGACTGGATACATTATGCAGTATGCTGTGCTCCTAGGCTTGAGTCAGGAATGTCGCTGTGAAAGTCCTTTCACGACTCCCTGCCGTGACTACATTGTAGTACTTCAGTAGTTACCCTAATTTCAGAAATTTTCGGTGCTCAAGTACAGAGAAGCAGTTCCCTATTAGATTATTATGTGTTAGTGTTTGTTTGGTGAAACGACTTACCCCACAATTTTAAATTATTTATTACGAGCTCTCGTAGATTTAAGGGGGCACATCACCCAAAAATTCGCTGAAAAATCGAATTTGTAAATTCATATTGAGTGCTACGTCAGTTGAAAGAGCATGAATAGCTGCAAATTCTCTGAAAACTGTGTCCCTATCTGACCAGCCGTTCAAGAGTTATGGCCGAAAATGTGCCCTTGCAAGGAAAGATTTTGTTGTTGCATGCTGTCATTTGTTGGCAGCACTGTATTTGAATGTGAGCAGACCGTGCGCAACTTGTCGTATTATGGAAACACGCGAAAGTGTGCAGAATTTTGCCCCAAGTCCAAAAAAGTCCAAAAAATCACGTTAAAAAACCACGTATTGGGCTGCACGGCGGCGGGCGAAGCCCGCCGCCGTGCAGCAGGACTTTTGCCAGCACCCTCGTGACGTTGCAGATATGTGGCTTGATTATTGTAGTTGACGTTGATTTAGTGACTTTGGCAAGTTTGAGTCGTGTCAAGAAGTCAGGTAGGATTCAGTACTAGGCAGTAGTGAAACGTGAGTGGCAGTCTTTGCCGGTTTCTGAGGGCATCCTGGATTTGGTTTGCAGCGCTGTGGAAATGGCTTGCTGTGGAGGTCCCAGCACTGGATGTTGTATCAAAGGTACGACCTCGTAGCACGTGCCAAACCTAAAAAAATTCAAAAATTGCCTTGGGTCTGTGGGAGTCCGTGAAAGAACGCCCACTCGTTCCGTTGTGACAGATTCCAGGGCCACGTTGAGGGGCCCTACCCCACCACCCATGGCTGCTTCTGGACTTGTTTTAGGTTTGGGTCCCGCGCACGGACAGAATGGGCACGAAAATGTGAAAAAAATGTAAATGCATTTGTTTGGCTCCTGGGTGGCTCGCACACCGTAGCACTATGCCGGAAATTTGAGTTTTTCCGGCCTGGAAAGCCTGTCAGTGAGACGCAAGAACTTGTAAATCATGTCCTGAGGGCCAGCATAGTGGCAGGAGTGTGTGGTCAAAATTTCACTCAAATCCACTGAGAAACACCAAAGTTACGGTCAATTGAATGCCATATGAAATTTTTGGGTGATGTGCCCCCCTAAAGGTATTCGGTACTAGTACTGTGCATGTGGTGTACCCAGATGGGCGCATTTCATGTCCTGTACATGATTCATGTACAGGACATGAAACAGTGGTGGGTTTGAATCCCATTCAGGTGCAAAAAAACACCCAAAACTAGTAACAACTTACTTGCACCATTCGTCGGTATCAGAGCTGGCTCTGGTCGCTAGTCTCTGAACAATGAATAGGGCCTAGCACGCCTCATATCATGTCATCTTCTCAGTGTAAAGACTAAGAGTGACAACTAAACTACAATGTACATACTAGTAAAAAAAGTAAAACGCTAAACGGTAAGCATTCGTTCATTCAGTTCTTTTGTGCATGTGTCGATCGGAAAATTCCCACGGAACACACAGGATGGTTGCAGATCTACACTACAGTGCTGCTCACTGCAATCCAGTCGATCGTGTCACTCAAGTCTGCGCCTTGCATCATTTCGCCGCCCAGTGTTCACAGGTCTAAGGCTGCGCAACGTCCGGCGCGTACTTGCGCGACGCGACTGGATTCCATTGAGCAGCACCGTGCATTATGTCCATTGGCTCTAATGAAAACTGTTCCTATCGTCAGCAAGCAGGTTTCTTGGACTTCCGCTGTACCAACGCGCAACGGTGCGTCAGGGCCGGTTTTGCCGTATTTTTTTAGTAAGAAAACTACTACACCAGTATGTACACGTACTTGTGTAAATAGCGAAATTAAACACATTCCCAATACTACACGTAGCAATCTACTGTAAGTTCACAAATTTTCGGTGTCCTTTTATTTTCGGCACTTTCGGTGCATCTGTTTCATACCTAAAATTTCCATACACCGAAAAAAAACTAACACACATAATCCAATAGGGAACTGCTTCTCTATACCTGAAATTTCTGTTCACCTAACCTGGCCTTTTGCCCTCAAACCGAAAATATTGAGCACCTAAAATTTCTGAAATTAAAGTATTCCTAAAACTTGCTAACCCTCTGAATGATGTTCTCAATACATGTGACTCTTGTATTTCAGCAACTAGAAGACCGCAGTTGGTTATGGATGCAGCAAGTGATTTACAACGGCTCAAAGCCACAAGTGAGATGCGAAAGGCAAACTATCTACAGATAAATCATAGTATAAAAGCTCTGGGAGTCAAGTTCAGCCTGTGGGGCATGAAATACGGCGATGAAGGGGGAAAAGCGGTACATGCAAGGTGAACACTGCGTAACTAGAGTAGCTTCAAACTGCATACTCTGAGCATCTCGTGTCCGGACCATATCCAAGAAAAAAAGAGCTTGATAGTTACGGCTGATAGAGTCATTCGGCAGGCTTTAGAAGCTTTAGTTTAGTTCTCAAGAGATCCGGAGAGTTCATTTACCGTGGGGAAACATCTATAATATATGTACTTGAAGTATGTATTAGCCTAGTTACACATAGTCATTGGCTATACTGATAGGCTCATAATATGTAAACGCCTTACAGAGGATGCAGCCCTGACAGACTAAAATAGTGTGTATCTATTTGTATTATCGGAAACAAGAAAGAGTTTACGAAAGACTAGCGTTAGACTGTGAGGCACAGGCAGTTGGAAGCGACTGTGCGTTGGACGGGTGTGTGTGTGTGTGCGTGCGTGCAGATGGATTCTTGCAGCACACCTTCATCAATGTTCATTGACAGACAGTAAGCCATGATTGTACTCTGCCACACTCATTCACTCCACCCGTTTAGGCATCAGTCTCCACTCCAACCGCTTTGACTGGCTGCTGAACGCTAAGGCAATTTTGGTACTCGACGATAGATCCCTCGGTCTTGGAATCCGGTGTGAATTCCGACGCAGTGGACGGAATACATAGCAGTGCAGGGATGGAGAGCTGAGGTTCGTTTCCGACCTGCGGCGAAACTGCTACACCAGGGCTTTCTTGCGTGGATAACGGAGAAGCAGGAGATCCGATCGTCAGCGCAGGTGAGGTGACATCACTGGCAGGTGACTTTGGCAGTGCATTGTGCAGCGGTGCAGTGATATAGAGATTGGAGGGACGTGGCAGGGACGCAGCTCCATCGCTGAGTGAGCGTTGGCGCAGCGAATCGTTACCGGAGAGGGTGCTTACTGGGCTTTTCGCCAGCGCATCCTTGTTCAATTGCTTCTGTTCTTCGATGGTGAGCTGTACATGTTGTGCCTCTGGTGGTGGTGGCGGCGGGGATGGGGAATAAGATAGCGGTGCCGGGTTTGCAGGCATCACCGGCTCAACATCGGCAGGAATCGGCGCAAACTCCTGCGGAAAGACGGAGCGCATGTCGGAATACGGGACGTGCGTGACGACGGATGGGTTGTTGTTGCTGAACGACACACTTGTGCTCGCCGGGAGATACCTAACACTCGGTGTTGGTTGCTGTGGAAACGAAATGGAGGTTGCTGCAGCCGAGGAGCACGATGCAGAGCGGGGCTTGCCGGCGGGAACGATTGTCGTGCGGGTGACTGTCGAGCCGTCATCGTCAGTACCGGTCATGAAAGTAAACGTGTTGTTCGCACTGGTTGTACCGGCAGTGGACGAGTACAGCGGGCTCGTTGTCATGCTGTAGAAGCTCTGACGGTCGTAGTCCTCCATGAACTCCAAGATCTGATCGGAGGCAAAATAGTCGCGCGCGCACACACACGCACACACACACACACACACACACACACACATACGCATACACACACGCATTCGCATCAGGAGACCAACAAATGTATACAAGAGATAGATAGTGCCCCCCCCCCCCCCTCCCACGCACGCATGCATACACGCATGTACATATTCCGCACATTCTGAGAATTTGTATTTCAACTGGGAAAGTGCACACAGCACTGGCAAGTGCCACTGTGCCAATAGGCTATGTGGGTGCATGCGGTCAAGCTGGCATTGCACTCCACTGCGCTCCATTGCGCTCCACTGTACCACCAGGGCGGCATAAGTGTGCAAACAAGACTGCTGCACCGTCCAATCAAGACATACAGGGTCCGGCTTGTATGGGTGGTGATACGAGCGCAGCAGCAGGGGATGCTTTCGAGCAAAACCTAGCCAGTGTACTGGCAGGTGAAGACCTGACCGGTGTTATTGTCGGGAAAGCTTGTCCCCATGATCACATTGTATTACTGCTTGGTGTTGTTGTTCCCTTGTGTTGTTCACCATTTTCACGCCAATCAAAGGTTTTCGTGGCCGTTTTTCGTTGAAAAGCCAATTTGTGCGACTCGAGATGGGTCAGAAAGGTGCCCGGCAGACGGACGTGCCCGGATCGGGGGCGTCCCGATCTGAGGAGTTTTACTGGACTTTTAGTGCAGCCTGCAACATAGAACAGTGCACTGCACGTATAGTTACTAAACTTCGTCTGATGAGTGTTTTTGTCTTTTTCAACACTAAGCTCGGAGTCATGAGAAAGCTTTTCGTCTCTGTTGTTCTGCCTTGTGTAGTTAATAAACTGAGCGAAAATCCCTCTGCGGGTATCTCTCCACATTCACCTATGGCAGTGAGTTACAATGCCGCTCAATGAAATCCGCCCTGCCACTCAATGGCACGCCGCGTGCTGTGCAGCCGTAGACCTGCGAGCGCTGGGATGTGAGCTGGTGCCGGGCCCAAACTTGATTCACGTGAACGAGTTTCATTTAGAAGCAGAACTTGCATGCGGTGCAGGATACAAGTCAATGTAACGTCATGCTTACTCTTGAGAATGTCGGTCGATGGATTGGGTTGTCTTGCCAACAGATCTTCATCAGGTTATACCTGGTTACAAGACACACAGAACAACAAAGCAAAGTGTTGGGGTTTCAATATATCTTTATCGAAATACAGTAGCTGTGAACACAAAGGAAAACAGAAAGAGAACTGCAGAAGAGATCCGACAACCAAGAATCAGTGTGAACGCTGTGCTGGCATGCGTACGGGCAGTGAGTACAAAAGAGACCACCAGCAAACACACACGGAGAGCGGGATGCGTATACAGATACACCACAAGCAAGGTTAGTTCATCGCTACTTCGAGTTTCATGCTACGCAATCATCAGGCAACGGTTAAAAGAGATAAAAGGAACTAGTTTAAAAGTTGAACGAAATAGTGGTAGCGTGTAATGTTTATTGACTAAAATTTGATAGGAGCTTCCTTCGACCACTGGACATTGTTGCAGCATAAAATCTTGGCATCAAAACTGGAGCAAGGATTCACTCCTACGTACGGAGGTGCATGCCCTGGCTTGTGAACTACTTGTGACAGTTCCAATACTGCGTCTTCCTATAGGATAGACCTTATTCGATAAACGTCACAATCACGTGAACCGGGGTCCCGGGAACCAGGGATTGGCAAGAGACCTGCACTCAGTGCACAGAGGACTCGGCGTGGGAACATAGGAGTAGGAAGAATACTGGTATTTTACTACTCCCTTGTACGAGCTGGGCCTTTCTTGCCACTCGTTTCACGTACGCGTGCCCCAGCTTACGACAAATCCCTGGAGGCGAGTCCAAAGATCACGTTATCGAATAAGGTCTATAGGAATCACTTACAGTTGATCCGGACATCTATCAGGCTGGGACAATCGGTTGCCATCGGAGACGAAGTCGGCAATCTCGGCATTGCTGATACCCGGGTAGGGAATGCGACCGAGTGATTCCACCTCCCACATCAGCACTCCAAACGACCACTGTTCACAGGAGCAAAGAAAAACACACAGAAAGGAACTACCATGAGTGACGTCATGAGCCGAAATCGCTGAGTATTAATTTTTACTTGGATGGTGAGCCAATATAATCATGGCAAAGTGAAGAAGGGACAATGTGTTAAGAGTTAAAACTAAGCTGATACACCAAAGGATGTGATAGCAGAGCCACTAAGCCAGTACGGCAATCCCTTCACTCAAACTTGGTATGGTCTACAGTAGGAAAACAAGTAGGAGTGAGAGGTGCTAGAGAATATGATGTAGAGATGGCACTAGTCCAGCTTCGGACAGCTAGCTGTTTTGAACTTGTTAGGGCTCCTCAGTGAAGCTCGGAGTTACCAACCAAACCGATTGCGATGAAGTCTCATAAATAACAAAGAATGTTTACCAAACCGGCTCAAAGTATCAAGGTCAGAGTGCTCTAACTGTGATAAACACAGCGAGTCTTGCGCAGGGGATGCTCCTTTTTTTCTTCTTTTTTGGACTTGTTTTATCTCGCATATCCAGACGGGAATTTCTTCCCAATAAGAAGGCAGTGAAGAGGGAAGAAAAAAGATACAAAAAAAGAACAAAAAAGTGTGTATGCATTGGAAATGATAACTAACATGTCAATACGACTTACCACATCTGACTTTGAAGTGAACTTGTAGTAGCGCAGGCTCTCTGGAGCCATCCACTTGACGGGTAGCATGAACTCACTGTTTGCCCGATAGTACTGTTCATCGTACATATGACGACCCAGACCAAAGTCACCAACCTTCACTATCAGGTCACGGTCCAACCTGTGTGTAGACAGGACAAACGGTAACATTTGTCACGACGTTGACATGATGCTCAACGTCATGAGATTATTTGCAGTACACGTCATAGTTTGTGTTCTCTATCCCGGTTTGTTTCCGCGTTCCCACACCGAAGCTGGGCCGCGAGTTTATTATTTCTACTGACTCACTCACCTCTTAGCTACGTCCTCCATGTTTTTTCCGGCTCCTTTTTCTCTCTGCGCAAGCGCCTTGCGCATTAGTCGTCTTCTTTCAGTTCACAGCAAGAACAAGTATTATTTACCCCTTGTGCATTGTCAGTTAAATTCAGTCAAATCAAGTTCTCCCGATCCCAAGAATAAGAACATTGAACTGCCTGACGTGTGCACAAATTGGTGCCGAAACCCGGGACATGAACGGCACCGGAGCTCGAAACGAGCCGTGCGTACCATTCCAATCTTGAGAAAGATAGACTCGACTCAAATAATTTGTAAGCAGCTTGCCCGATTTGGGTCGTCGAGCTAACATGCCGAAGAAAGCAGTGACGACTGGCACGCAGATCATGCGCCGGGTCAAGGTCGCGAGCTGCAAGGATCCATCGACGAACTCGTCAAAGAGGCCGCACTCCTTTTATCGAAGGAAGGAGGTCAAGGGGCCGACGAGTTGTCGCCAGAACACGTGGACTCTTACATAAATACAAATTTTGAAGATAATCACACTCTTATGAAGACAAATAGACAAAATAATAGAGTCGATTGCGTGCATCTGCGCATGTGTTTGTGAATGCTCGAGATGCAAACACATTCATTATTATGTAAAATACTTGAAGTACCAAGTACATGAGCACAGATATTGGGACTTTGAAGATTGATGTGGAAACAATGAGCCATGCATACGCGCTGAGACCGCTATACGAAAATACATGGTCATGGTGGAGGCCGTGGCGGTGTGTGGGTGTGAGTGTTGGTGTGCTTATGGGTGTGGTGGTGGCCCGGTGGAGGTGTTGGTGTCACCAGCTGTGGCATTGGCGATGATGGTAGTGACAGCACTAAACCAGTACAACGTACTGTGTGTGTGTGTGTGTGTGTTTGTGTGTGTGTGTGTGTGTGTGTGTGTGTGTGTGTGTGTGTGTGCGTGCGCGCGCACGGGTGTGTGTGTGTGTGTGTGTGTGCGCGTGCGGGCGTGCGTGCGTGCGTGCGTGTGTACTGCATGACCAACTCAGCACACAGTGTGTGTACACTGCATGACCAACTCAGCACACCTCACTTACATGCAATTGCGAGCTGCCAGATCCCTGTGAACGAAATTCTTTGAACTGAGATAGTCCATGGCCAAGGCCACTTGCAGCATGACAGCATATAGCTCATTGCTACTCAGCTCCTCCTGCAGTACACCAACACACACACACACACACACACACACACACACACACACACACACACACACACACACACACACACACACACACACACACACACACACACACACACGCACACACACACGCACGCACGCACGCACGCACACACACACACACACACACACACACACACAGTACAAAGGAGGTTTGTAGAGTTTGTGGCCACTCTGAGTTTCTTGCTCAAAAACAATCGCCAGGCGACTTGAGACTACAGTAAAACCTGTCTAAGACGACCGCTCGAGGGACCTTCAAAACGTGGTCTCTGTTACCAGGTGGTCTACTTACGCACATGTGCGTCTCCATTACGCACACGCGCATCTGCAATCAATTCCTGGCAATACATTTTTTTTGGGCTGCATTCAAAATGTTCATTTGTACCGATGCTTTCTCCTAGGCCTTTCAAACTCTAGGAACATACTCTCAATACCCATTGTAAGGATTTGTCCGAGAGTTTTTGTTGGCAATACATATTGCATGTTGAAAGATCGGGTTAAATGACAGATCGAATACAGTGAAATTTCATTCTCTCCCGAAGGAATGTCGTTATAACCAATCTCCACTGTACCCCGGAAGATACGGTAAGTAGGTTGTGATCGAATCCATGTGTTCAATGCATTCTAGGTTGCTAACATAACAAACCAGACCAGACACGGTATGGACTCATGATTGTATGTAGGTGTGAACAAGTTAGTTTCTGGCAATGTTGTGGTGTTTGGTTTCCGCCCAACATTGTCGATCTGCATGTTTGCACTAGCGTGCAGCTGAACCAACGCAGCTGAACCAACGCAGCCGAACCAACGTGCCTTGCAATGCTTTGCTAGGCTTTTCTTTCACTGTATCTTTTTGGTCACATATAATACCGTACACTTTTCTTACTCAACAGAATCTTAGAACGAAGAAGGAACGGTCGGTTGTTGTCTTTGGCGGTGTGTCGGATCATAGTGCATGCTACTAGACGCCATTCGGTTACAGCACTTTTTGGTGCCGAAACCCGGGACTCAGGAGTTTGTGTTGTAACTCGGAGTAGTCGGGCGAATTGGGTAGCAGTGGGAGATGGCCAAAGTCGAATGCTTCTTGAGACCGTTCCGCGGGGGTCGGGACGACCTGAGCGAATTCTGGGCGAAGTTCTCAGTTGTCGCGGACTTGCAGAAGTGGGACTCGGACGAAAAGAAGATGGCGAATCTACCGCTCTATCTCGAGGGTGAGGCGTTCACCGTGTGGAACGAGATGGCGGCAGCGGATAAGAAGAAGCCGGCCGATGTGAAAGCGAAGCTGACCGCCGCTTTTGGGATGGCACCGGATCAAGCATACTCGATGTTTACGTCCAGGATCTTGCGAGGAGACGAGTCGGTGGACAACTTCGCAGCGGACTTGAAGAGGCTTCTCACCTTGTCTGGTGAGCAGGTTGATGCTGATGGGAAGAATAAAATAGTGATCGGGCAGTTTCTCTCCGGGCTCCCCTCTCAGTTTGCGAAGGAGCTCCGTATGAGTGGAAAAACGGACACCATCGACGATTGCGTGGAGTACGTCAGGCGGCTTAGAAGCGTGGAGCGATCGATGAAGCCCGGTGTGGCAGCAGTGAGCTACGGTGCTCTAGACGATCGGGCTCCATCAGGCTCTTCCAGGATGACCGCTGCAGCAGGTGCAGGTCGCGACTCCGCAAGACGTGTCCTGTGTTACAAGTGTGGTCAAGTTGGCCACTTCAAGCGGAACTGCCCTGCGAGCACGAGTAGTGGCACTGGTAGCCACAAGCAAGCCAAACACAGTCAGCTGACGTGTTTATTCTGCGACGAGGCTGGGCATATGATGAGAGATTGTGCGGAGTTCAAGGCCTTCAAGCAGAAGAAGCAGCGGGGTGGGAGTGCAGCCGCTGCTCCTGTGCACTCTGGTGATCATGGTGACTCCAAGGTGGTATGCCTGAGCAGTGGAGGTGACAGTCTGCCACGGATCTTTGTGGACATCAAACGGTCCGGCGGTCCAAGCAAGCGTGTAGTAGCTGCTGTGGACACCTGTGCATCCCGCTCCCTTGTAGCTAGCGCCCTGGCAACCGACCTAGCTTTGGATATCAGGCCTACGTCATCGACAATTAATGCGATCGATGGCAGTCCGGTGGATGTCCGTGGCGTCGTGGAGTGTACAATCTCACGGCTGGATAGTGCTGTGGTTCGCCTACGTGAGACCGAGACTGACATGCTGGTGGTGGACGACCTGTCTGTCGTTGAGGCTGATGTGCTGATTGGAGTTAACAGCATCGCGACTCTGGGTGGTGTGCATATGCAGTATGACGCAGGAGAACTGGTGGGGGTTGTATTCGGGACCGTCAGTGCTGCATGCCCATTGGTGCTGGCGTCGAGCACCCCAGATGAGCAACCATCACGCCCCGAGTCGGAAGCACGAGCCGTCGCTGAAGACTTTCACCACGCGGACGTGGAGAAGCTCAGCAATGGCGATGTTGTGCTGCGGGCATCAGATATGATCCTCCGGTGGAGTACGGCTGACAAGGCGTGGGAGGTGCAGTGGCAATGGGCGGACAAGACGGAGCCGACTACGTGCATCGGGTCAGGCCTTGGAGAGTACCCACGATCCAAGCTCTCCAAGGAGCAGGAACAGCTATTTGGAGATGAGGTTGAAAAATGGCTCGGCAACGGCTGGCTAGTGAAGCATGACGTCGAGAAGCATGGTGAGCCGAGATGTGTGCTGCCTCTGCTCGCTGCTACGCAGGAGCATAAGGCATCAACGCCAGTTCGGCCCTGCCTCGACTACCGGCTCCTCAACCAGAAGCTGACGTCGCACCCTGGCACCGACGCTCCGGCATGTGGCGAGACGCTACGGAGGTGGCGTCAAGCGGGCGTTCCGCAAGCGTATCAGCTGCTGGATATCAGCAAAGCGTACCTACAGGTACGCATTCATCCCGATTTGTGGCGTTATCAGTGCGTGGTGTGGCGTGGCGAAGTGTACGTCCTGGAGCGGATGGGCTTCGGGCTGTCCGTGGCTCCAAAGGCAATGGACTTGATCGTGAAGTGGGCCACGCGTGATCTCGCTGGCGTAGACAACTACGTGGATGATCTCTACGTCCCAGAGCAGCTCGTCGACCGCACCAAGTCGCGGCTCCTGGAGTATGGCCTGCCAACCAAACCGGCTGAGCCAGCCGTGAGTGCGCGTGTGCTAGGTCTGCAACTTCAGGCTGATGACGAGGGGAGTGTGTCGTGGACGCGTCGCGAAGGTGTGTCTCTACAGCTACCCGACAAACCAACGAAGCGCGAACTGTTTAGTTGGTGTGGCAGAGTGATTGGGCACTACCCTGTGTGTGCCTGGCTGCGCCCATCGTGTTCGTATGTCAAGCGCCTTGCCTGCACGTCAGAGGTGGCATGGGATCAGGCTGTACCGGATGCTGTCTTGAAGTGTTGCCGCGACATTGTTCACCGCCTGTGCAATGATGATCCCGTTAGCGGAGTGTGGTACGCTGACCCAACGATGGGTACGTGGCGAGCGTATTGTGACGCGTCCAACCTGGCAATTGCCACGGTGCTCACGCAGGATGGCAAGGTTGTCGAGGATGGTTCATGGTTGCGAGACAAAGCAGACAAGCGTCATATCAATGTGGCGGAGCTCGAGTCGTCTCTGAAGGCGCTGGATCTGGCCATCCGGTGGGACGTCAAGAACCTGACCATCGTGACCGACTCGAAGACGGTTGCTGGTTGGTTGCGCTCGGTCTCGCAGAATACTCATCGCGTGAAGGTCGGGGGTCTCCACGAGTCTCTCGTCCGTCTCCGCCTGCAGGTGTTTCAGGACACTGTGGCTGCTGCTGGCATGACGGTGTCCGTGGAGTGGGTCCCCTCGGAGTCGAACGTTGCAGATCGGCTCACCCGCGTGCCGACCTCATGGCCTCCCTGTCGGGAGGAAGCAGGTGAAATCGCAGCAGCGCTACCAGCAAGCTCTATGAAGGGGCCAACGTCGATGCGGTCTATCCGCGGGTACCAAGCGGTAGATGCGGATGTGCAGCTGACAGTGACACAGCTACAGGATGGAAAGCAAGTGACGAGCCAGCTGTACAAGAAATCAAAGGGTCAGCTGCGTGTTATTGATGGCGTCCTGTACCTCAGTCGTGTGGACCCCGTCGATGGTGATGTGATCGTACCGGTCCTGCCTACTGCACTGTAGAGTGAAGCCGTCGGTGCTGCTCACCGCAACACCGGACATGGTAACTGGGAGACCATGTGGGGCAGTCTTCGGAAGTGCTGTCATTTCCCACAGATGGCGCAACGCTGCCAGGAAGTCGTCCGAGACTGCGGGACGTGCCGTGCAGCGAACCCGTCGCGAGGAGAGCCCAACCCTCCAGCCGCGAGAAGCGACCTACCAACCAGGCCGTGGGAAGTCATCCAGATTGATACGTTAGAGCTGGGACCCAGCCGCAGTAGTTCCTACCATTGTGTCCTCGTGTGTGTGGACATGTTCACACGGTGGGTGGAAGTCGTACCCCTAGCCCGCCATGATGGTGTCAGTGTCGCGGAGGCGCTTGTTGGTATTTGCACCCGGTTTGGCCCACCAAGCGTAATTCGATGTGACAACGGCACGGAGTTTGTTAACTGTGTGGTGTCGTCTCTGCTATCGATATTCGGCGTACATGTGAGGCATGGAGCTGTGCGCCACCCTCAGAGCCAAGGGGGAGCCGAGCGCTTCAATCGCACGCTGCTGGGTCTTATCCGCAAAGTGGTCGAGTACAGCAGCGATTGGCAGACAGAGCTGAGCATGCTGCTCTACTACTACAGGGTGCGGCCGCACAGTGCTACTGGGATTTCGCCATGCGCCGCAATGATGGGATGGGAACCACGCAATCTCCTGGTCGAGCGCGAGGAAGAAGACCTCAGTTTGTCAAGCTGGGTTGAAAGCTTGGCAGAGAAGACGGCACGTGTGCGAGACCTCGTAAACGAAGAGCTCTCTCGGAACGACACAGAGAGCGTGATCGAAGGAGCAGAGTACAGCGTAGGGGATGCGGTGCTGTTACGTCGGCCTTCCCGGAGCCGCAAATGCCTGGCACCGTACGAGCCTGGGTGGCGCATCGTTCGCGTTGTGTCGCCGTCGACAGTTGTCATCACCCGGGCTGCTGATCCACACTCAGCGGAGAAGATTGTCAACGTGGAGATCATCAAGAGGGATGTCGCCCGTGACTTGGCCCAACCAACAGCGCTGATGGACGACAGTGCAGCGGCAACAGATGGTGGTTATCTGTACCAGCCAGCATCAGTGCTGCTAGGCCCTGAGCCCAACATAGGGGATGGCGGCATCCGCATGTCACTGCGAGACAGATCTGCCATTAGGCCACCACAGCGCTATGGCTCCTGAAACTGTATGTGTGCCGTGTTATCAGTCTACCTTGGCGCGTGCTTAGTTAGGAGCAAGCTAGCAAATGCAAGACCCATTACGCATTTTGCTGTTCTCTTGTTTAGCTGTTGGTGGAGTGTTGTTCTTTTCTTTGGAGAACCTTAGTTCTACGTTTTAGTGCAAGTTCCCTGTTTTGTTGTGTTACCAGGGGGGAATGTGTGATCGAATCCATGTGTTCAATGCATTCTAGGTTGCTAACATAACAAACCAGACCAGACACGGTATGGACTCATGATTGTATGTAGGTGTGAATGTGAACAAGTTAGTTTCTGGCAATGTTGTGGTGTTTGGTTTCCGCCCAACATTGTCGATCTGCATGTTTGCACTAGCGTGCAGCTGAACCAACGCAGCTGAACCAACGCAGCCGAACCAACGTGCCTTGCAATGCTTTGCTAGGCTTTTCTTTCACTGTATCTTTTTGGTCACATATAATACCGTACACTTTTCTTACTCAACAGAATCTTAGAACGAAGAAGGAACGGTCGGTTGTTGTCTTTGGCGGTGTGTCGGATCATAGTGCATGCTACTAGACGCCATTCGGTTACAGCACCTGCAGGGATTCACTTACCATATCCTGATCGGACTCGGATGTACGGAACGGCTTGGGCATGGATGCGTTGTGATTGCGCAAGAACGTGTGCAGATCGCCCCGGTCCATGTAAGGCACAATGATCTGCGGAGAGGCGTTCTCCGGCAGACAGACACCGATCAAGTTGAGCAGGTTGGCGTGGTTGAACTGCTTCATGGTGACGGCCTCCTGAAGAAAGTTGTAGACCTGCTGTTCGGTGACAGATCCGTTGACTGCAAGAACAAAAACAGGAAAATGCAGAAAAATACCGAAATGTGTGTTTAGAGTGAGGATATTTCCTTTAGCCAGCAGAGGTCTCAACACAATAATGTGGAGCACTATTACACACAACAGGCACAATAGAGGTTTACAGAGTTTGTCGCAATTCATAGTTTCTTGTACAATGTAATGATCAGGCAACTTTTAAATTATTTTAACACAAACATCTGCATGCCGCACTCGCACAGTGAGCAACCAGTTTGGGGAATAGAAGGGTTTGTCAATTGCTTTGCCAGGCTCCGAGTGAGTGAGCGATGGTGGGGTCACCCACGGCGGATGATTTTTTTTCGAAGCGTCATTTTCGGCAGAAGTGTGATCACGTGTACATGCTTTTTCGTGCTTCTCTTGTACATTATGGTGTCAGGTCCTCCTGGGCAGGATGCCTTATCTTCCGTCTCTTGTTCTAATTTGACGACAGTAGCTGTGAAGTTAGTCCTTTGTACAGTAAAAGCTGTCAAGGCGACCACTCGGATAAGGCGACCACCTGTTCCAGAAGACCACTGCAACCAGGACCAAGAGATGCTATTTCCAGTCGAATGACCCTGGATAAGGAGACCACCTGGTAACAAAGACCACGTTTTGAAGGTCCCGTGAGCGGTCGTCTTATTAGACAGGTTTCACTGTACTTAGATCTCTGGTTAGCACTGCTAGGCATGATGACAACAGTGAAGCAAATATCAAAAAGTATTCTTTCTAGACCAAAGAGTACTCTTTGGTCTAGAAAGAATACTTTTTCATATTACAAAGAGAGTGGATAATCAACGGCTTGTCCACCAACTCAGTGAATCAAATGGCAGCAAAACACTGATGTCCCGAAATTTCCGTCATGGGTTTGGGAATAGTCGAGTATCACACTCTTGGATATGTCCTCTTGATACCATAGGACATGTGAACAAAATTCAAACAGCAAATGAAGTTCCCAGTACCTCTCATTGTTTTGATTGCCACACTCTCTCCCTGGTAAGTTCCAAGGTAGACAACACCAAATGCACCTGCAACGGGTCATGAGAACACACATGCAAACACAAGAAGCATGGATGTGGACACACACATGGACACACGTGCGCAGGAGCACATTCATATGAATACATGAAAGCAGTTGAAACAAAAAACAGGCAGGTGCTGCGGAAACCAAGAAAGGCTAAACTGCGTTGTTGGTCAGTTTAGTAGCTGTTGTCCTTTGCATCATTGGGCTACATCTATTCCTCTCTAGTTTTTGAAGTTCATTATCCTGTCTCAACCCACATTTTTCATTCCACAAATGGCAGAATTTCTGGCAGAACCTCAATACACATCAGCAAAATTGATTTGCATTTCATGGATCAGGGGCGTCGGAAGGAGTTTAACATTGGTGCGGCCAAAGTGTGAGAGGGGGTCCTCCCCCGGGAAATTTTTTGAAATTGGGCCTAAAAAGCCATATTTTAACGCTACAGAATATTGAAAAAAGAATATGCATGCTGATGATACACCGCATTGTCGATGTAAAACATGGTACCTGTACAAGAGTCGACAAGCCACCAACAAGTTTGAAATGTAAAAAAAAAAAATCGAAAATTATTGGTGCGGCTTTGGCCGCACCTGCCGCACCGGTTCCGACGCCCCTGTGGATAACAGTTTCAGTGGCCGTCAGTACATCTCTGGATATCACTCAATGCATTGCTTACCTTTTCCAATCTCCTTCTCGGGTACAACTTCCCCAGCGCCGATCAAACAGTCTGCAAACGGATGAGGTTGTTGGCGACGACGACCTACCCGGAAAGTACAGAAAAGAATCGGGAAAAATAAGATCCGGAAAATTCCTTCTGAAGAGATGGCAACGAAAACGCTGAAGGAAACCTAATCTGTGAATGTTGCGTGTATTGAATGTGCAACTTGCTTTATTTATTGCATTGATTTCATTTCTGTCTCCACGAAACACTGTTTGGAAATACGTACAGAAAAGGATCGGAACAGCAGCGCAAACACGCAGAATGGCGCAGAATGGTTTTGTGGCTGCAATCTAACAAACCCTGGCCAGCCACCACGGCAGCTACAAGCAGAGACTTTTCAAGCCACCACCCTTAGCATGTGTCCTGTTGTACTGCATGGAGGTGGAGAGGACCTCATCATCCACAAAGGAAGGGCCTTAATAGTAACCTTCAATAGTAACAGGGCAATTCTAAACCAATAAGGTTTGGTGATGCCATTCTCCCGTGGAAAAACACTTTATACGGTAGTTCTGGGCCGAGCAGATACAAGGTGAATTGAACTAGGTGAATTGAGTACATTCGGAAGAGACTATCAGAACAACCCAGTAAAACTACCAGCAAACAACCCCGCCGCTACAATCACAATACACACTTAACGACTTCATAACTGGTTCGAACGAGGCCAGAAAACAGGATGACAGAACTGATCATACCATTTTCATGTTTGCTTCGAATCTGCTTCTTCCTCATCCTATAAGAATGGACAGCACAGCAAACATCAAGCAATCAGTCAGAACATCTGAAGGAGTCCGTAAAGAAAGTAAGT